TATGTGGGCATGGCTTGGTTGGCATGGCAGGGGAAGAATCCTGTAAAATCTCCAGCCAGAGGTGATATTTGCTAGTTCTCTGAGCTACTCAAAATTTCCATCACCGGTTCTCCAGAACTGGTCAGAACCTGCTGAATACCACCCCTGCTCATGATGCTTCTGTTTGCCTGATTATCTTGTTTGCTGTAAATGTAGATCTAAAATATATTTATTTATATGAAACTAAGTTTGTGTCAGTGTCTCTGACTTCATTTAGACACCCTGCTGCGCAATTCCCTGACGATCTTCATTAGATCTTTTCTTCAGATGAACCACAATATCTCTTTGCTATTCCTTAAATCAGCTCAGTTGTATATGCAGGGCAACAAAACCAGGAAGATGGCAGATGGGGCCGTGCACCATAAGCTGTGTGCCTTTTACACACTTGCCAACGTCACATCAAAATGAATGGTACTGGCACTGTGATGTTCCATCTGCCATCTTGCTGATTTTAAACCCTCCTCTGCAGATTCTGCTGAAGGTTATAAATCTGAAAAAGGAAACTGCTACTTTATTTTTATTAACAATTTTATTGGTTTATAATATAACATACAAAAAAGCAAAATAGTAGGGAAAATAGGGAAGGAAAAAGGGAAGAGAAAGGGGAAAGGAAAAATGTGGAAACTGCTAGGTATAAGTTAAGTTAGAAGCATCTTTTTCAGCCTTGGAAGTTTGCTTAAATTCGTAGCAAAGAGGAGGTGTGCACGCATATGGTCCAAACTATTTCAAATTTTAAATGCCCATTTACCTTAATCTTGGTAAATTAATTTGCTTAGACTTCATTTTTAATAAAAAGGTTCAAATGCTGCATTGATGCAAGAATCAAGATATAAAATGCAATTTTATTTATTTATAAAGCTTATTGGTCACCCATCTTACTATCAAGGTAACTCTGGGGGACTTGCAATTATGGTAGATTAGATAGATAGATAGATAGATAGACAGACAGACAGACAGACAGACAGACAGAATAAAATACCCCAAAACGCTTTGATCCAATTACAAATGGGGAGAGGGGACAGAGTAGAGGGAAGTGGGATCCACTGTTAATCAACCACTGTGATGTTCCCCATTGGGGCCTCAAGCTAGCCAGGTCTTTAGGTTCTTAAAAATGTTCAGGAAAGTTGAGGCCAACCTCACATGGGGGGGAGGGACTAGATGTTTCAGAGCAGGGGTCGCCAACCTTTTGGACTTCAGGGACCACCAAACTCATAATTTTAGATCCCAGGGACCACTAACTGGTTCTGTGGGTATGGCCTAATTTGTGGGTGTGGCTTGGTGGTCATGTGACTGGCTGGGCATGGCTTGTATGTAAATATTATAAATATTTATATAAATATTGAATTTTTTATAAAAAAAGAGCAACTTTTACCCAAAATCAGGCAAAGCAGGCAGGCAGATTGAGTTGCTCACAGAATCACAGATTCATTCAGAGATCTATCTATCTGCCATTGGCTAGCTCAGTCTGTCACATAAATTTTTCTTGCAAGCAAACTCATAAAATTTGCGAGCAAGCAAACTCACAAAATTAACTCACAACACACCATGCATGTAAATATTGAATTTTTTATAAAAAAATAACAACTTTTACCCAAAATCAGGCAAAGCAGGCAGGCAGATTGAGTTGCTCACAGAATCATTCAGTGATCTATCTATCTGCCATCGGCTAGCTCAGTCTCTCAAATTTGCTTGCCGTGAATCTGCACTGAATTTGCTTGCAAGCAAACGTTCAGTCCTAAGGGAGGTTGACTGTGCTGAGCTGAAGATCTAAAGACTAGCTAGAAAGCTAGTCATTTCCTGCCTCCTAGCTAATTTCCTGCTTCCTAGCTAATCTAAATCTCCCAGCACAGCAGAACAGATGATGGTCGGAAAAAGGAAAAATAGCAATTTAGCAGGCAAGTTTACCAGATAAGGAGTGAGTGGGGGGGGGAGGGTTCCTGTGGGCCATGTGAGCGGCGCAGCCTTGTGTTTCTGCACAGCATGGATTAATTGCTTTGTGGGGATGCTCTGGGGGTGAGATTTCTCTACGGCCCACCAAAATTTTCTCGCGGCCCACCGGTTGGCAACTTCCCGAGGGCAGATGCCATGACACAGAAGGCCTTTCTCGACCCTGCCAGCTGAAATAATTGGACAAATGGGGCTTGCAGCATGCCTCCTCTGCCGGGGTGCATGGGACGGTCCAATCCCAGTAGGATGAAACAGTCCCTCAAGTAGCCTGAAACTATGCCATGAAGAGCTTTAAAGATGATTACCAACATTCTTAAAAGAACAGTAATAAAATGGGAGCTTAACAGTAACAAAATCTTTGAGGTACTATTAAAGCATTTTTCATTATGGACTTATGCAAAGGGCACAATGTCATGTGAAGGATTCATGTTAGTACTTGCATCACAACCGATATGTAGATCACATTTTTGTCAACATGCCATCATTTACCCCATTGCAAACACCTGTGCTTGCAATATATCATTTACATTTTGTTGTTCATTTGCACACTTTAAAACATAAGAAAACAGGAAATTCAAGATGAGATGAAAAGTATGTGGTTTTGCAAAACCATGCAGGTTCTCTGAATGAGTATGAAAGCATAGCTACTCTGAAAGCTAGGTCATTATTATTACATATGACTTTGGCACTCATCAGTCACTCCATACTGAATTATTTGTTTGAATTATTACATGTGTATTATTTATGTGCTCACATTAGATTTTTCCAGATTATTAACTAGATATAAAAATATGTGACAGTGCATTCAACTAACCCTATTTGCTTATGTGTGTTTTATTCTTTCAATAAATGCAAAATGTATAAAATAAATTTAAAACCCAAAGAGTGTAAAATTCTTATTTCCCTTACTCCTCTTCTAACCCTAGAGATGCTTGGTCTTTGATTGTGTATGTAGAACATGCAATATAGCAATGGGCTGTTGTCCCCCTTTCTCACAATGTTTATTGATTCATCCCAAAACAAAGATTTTATTTATTTGCTTCAGCAATTTTGGGAGGTTAAACATGTTGGACCTAGATTCAGATGCTCAAAGAAAATTATTTCAACTATATGCAAGTCCTATATATCTTTTTCTTCTATTCAATCATGCCTGATTCTTGGAGACCTTTGGAGGCTTTCAAAAAGAGATTGAACTTCTTTTGGAGGCTTCAAAAAGAGACTGGATAACCATTTGTTTGAAATGGTATGTCTCCTGCTCAAGTAGGTGGTTGGACTAGAAGACCTCCGAGGTCCCTTCCAAGTCCCAACTCTATTATTATATGTTCTATGACTGCCTGGACAAGTCCTTTCAGTTTTCTTGGCAAGTGTTTTTTTCCAGAAATGGTTTGCCATTGCCCTGTTTATAGGGCCGAAAGAAAATAACTGGCCCTTGGCTGGCTTTGTGCCCAAAACAGGATTAGAATTCATGATCTTTCTTAACCACAATATTTAAAGTGACACAAAGATAGGGGGGAATCCACTTTAAAAATTATTTGTAAACTGCTGTCAAGCCAAAATAAGTTTCATGTTCTTATAAGTATCACAGGAGCAGAGAACGACATTTTTGCCCCCATGTGGTAATGTCCCGATTCTTTTTTCCAAGAGAAAATACATTCCCTGAATTCAATACGATTAAAACCCAAATCCTTATTTACAAGACTGCACTTCCAAATGAACCGTAACATATAATATTCCACCCGACTCTTATCCATCATCGGTTTCCATCCCCAAACGACGGAGAAACAGGATTGGCTTCAGCCTCTCGAATCCAATACTAAAAACGGATTTTACATCTTCCTTCTTAACGGAGGGTTTTCACTGGAAGCTGCCTCCATTCCCGCAGGGAAAACAGAGGCCAACTTCCTCTTCTTCTTCTTCTTCCTCCTCCTCCTCCTCCTCTTTCTACTTTATACGCTGCGTCTCTCACCTGGACACACCTAGCTCACCTGAGGCTGCGCGGAAGCCTCCTTTCCCGAGCCCGCTGCGTCCCGCTCGTGGCCCGCCCCGCCTGTTCCTGGCCGCGCAGGCGCATTGTGACTCGCCCGGTAACTCTCCTCGGGCTCGGCTTAGCGCTATCATGGCGGCAGCAACCGGAGCGAGCAGGAAGCGATGGGCGAGCTAACCGTGGCGACTGCAGAGTGAAGTAGCTGCACGGCGGAGGAGAGAAACCAAACCCGCCCCCCACAAAAAAAACAACTTTCAGGCATCTTCCTCCTTCAAAGCGCTTGGTTTCCATCCAGCTCGGGTCGGCATTGCGCCAGTCCGGTGGCGGCGGAGAAACGAAGAAGACCTCTGTCTCCATGCCTGGATCAGCCGCCGGGCATTAGAAGGCGCGTCTCGCTGCCCTTTGGCCCCGGTCGTCCCTGGAGCGGAGAGCTCGGCTGGCTGGCTGGGTGAGTGCGAACTTCCCCGCTGGTCCGACTTCGTCCTTGCACCTGTGACTGCGCGCGCGAGGGGGCAAGAAGCAGGGAGAGCGCTTTTGGAGAAGAGCCCCGGGGAGGGTGGTGCGTCTTCAAATCTACTATATGTGTGTATGTATGTATATGTATATATGTATACACACACATATTCATACATACACACACATGAACAGTCTTTTGGGAAACCATCTTCCCCCCCTTTCTCTCGGGTGCGAGCAAGTTGAAAATTTGCAACAAGGAGGAGCTTACCTGTGCAGGTGGTTGCTCCTGCTCTGGTTTTATTGAGGGAGAGGGAGGCGGCATGTGCTTCAAGAAAAGGGAGCAGAGTTTGATAGTTATGTTTGTAGATAATGTTTAACCAAGTGCCGGTACTTAACTGTTGTCTTTCTGGAATGACCTTCTTTCCACAGACCCATTGCCTAGGCCCTGCCACTGAGGGAAGACAAAGAGGAGCCTGGACTCAAGTTGCTGGGCTGCCTTCCAAGGTGCTTTCAGAACTGGACCTGAAGATCCAGGCTAGAGTGTCTGTTCTGTATTTCTGGAAGTGAACTCACTATGGCTAGTGGAGAAAGACAGAGCTCTTCCTCTCCGTCAACAGGGGATGATAAAGGAGGAGGAGGAGGAGGTGGTGGTACTGGACCAGGAAAAGATGGAAGCTCGGCTGAAAAGCAGTCTTTGAATCCAGGCATCCCTATCCGGGGCATCAGGATGAAATTTGCTGTTCTGACAGGATTGGTGGAAGTTGGGGAAGTATCCAACAGGGATATTGTAGAAACTGTGTTCAATCTGGTGAGTCACTTATTTTTTTTAGTCCTCTCCAAATGAAGAAAAGCATATGATGAGGAAATAATGTACATTCTCTCCGTGTTCAAATTACTGTGATTAAACACAAATGTACACACATGGCCATTTGTAACGGGGGTGAGTCTAGTGAGCTGCTGCATTTTCCTGGAAGAAAAGCTGACTAACTCATTTAAGGTTGCATTGCTTTTTTTCCCCCTCATAGTTTTTATCTTTGCTTGAATTTTCTGAGACTTTGTTTCAAATTCTTGTTGACAACCAACTTTTCTACCACTTGTAACTTTATAAATGTATAAAGAAAGCATAAAGCAGATGTTAAAATTTGTACCCTAAGATATGCTATTTTATCAGTTTATAATATTGGTCTAATATATCCTATTGTAAGTTTGTAATTGATGGCTCTGCAAATGTATAGATATAAATATAGCAAGGGTGTCAAACTGGTGGCCTGCACAGGCCACGCCCACCCCAACTCCGTGAAGGGGAAAAAATGCTACAATACGTAATGTGATGGCAATGTGACACCGTGAGTTTGACACCAGTGATGTATAGTATATATCATTATTTGTACTGTAGACCAGGGATCCCCAACCTTTTCGACGCCGCGGCCCGGTTCCGGCGTCAGCTGGGCGCCGCGGCCCGGTTCCGGCGTCAGCTGGGCGCCGCCATCTTTTTTTGACGAAAAATCACTTCCGGTGACGTCACCGGAAGTGATTTTTTCGTCAAAAAAAATGGCGGCGCCAGCGCTTCTGGTGAGCTTTTTCAGGTAGAAATGGCTTTCTACCCGGAAAAGCTCACCCGAAGCGCTGGCGCCGCCATCTTTTTTGACGAAAAATTGCTTTTTTTACCAAAATAAGATGGCGGCGCCCAGCAACCAGCGGCCCGGTAAGGCTTGTTCCGCGGCCCGGTACCGGTCCGTGGACCGGCGGTTGGGGACCCCTGCTGTAGACCATCAACTTTTTTACTCTCAACTTTTCCTAACAGTGAAAGTTCTCTTAGAAAAGGGTTTAGGTTGATTGATATTAAACATAAATATTAGGCTTTGAAGAAATATGACATTAAATTTGAGTATTACAGCCTAGTGGCAGAGAACAGTAATTATATGATAATCTGGGAAATTCATATATATATATTGCATAAACTTTTGAATGAGAGAATAATTACTTCCTCTGGCTCAGTCAGAATTAATGGTAGCAACGCCTGACTTTTAAGATCATGTCTAACATCTGAAATGTCTTAAAAGCTGAAATAAAATAGTTTGGGCACATAATATGCACCATTTCACATTTCTCATGAGATCTTTGCTTAAAAGTTATAGTCTACATTTTCACAAAGTTCTACTTGAATTTGATATAACTTGGTTTAGATAAATTCTGAAATGTTTAGTTAAATTTAGGCTCTGCAATGAAAATTAGAGAAAGAACATTCCTAATTTAATAAAACTTGTAGTAAAAGTATTAGAAAATCCTGTGTTGTTTTATTCTTGGTATATTTACAACAGTTCTTTACCTTGAAGTGTGAATTAGGGATTTTGTATGTGTGTTCATTTAAGCCCTAAGCTGCAGAAATAGAAGATTTGTCAAGAATAATTGTGCCATAATGGCCTTTATTATGCCATAAACATAAAGTGATTATTCTAGGCTATATATACTGCATTAGTCTACATTGTCTTTAACTAGTGTCTTTTTGACTTAAAATCCAGAACATTATCCCTTTTTTCTGTAGCAGTAGCAGAAGACCTCACACATTGATAGTCATACCTTTTATGCTTATGAATATATAAAAGTTTGTTGAACTCTCTAGAGCATTGCAACATTTTGTACACAGTATTGCAAGTGTATTGTGTATCAGCAGTTTGGTATATTTTATTTCAGCCTATTTGAAAACAATTATTAGTTTTGTTAAAAATGATTCAAATTGAATTATACAGCCTTGCAGAAACTAAATATAAAATTGCCCTCCCCCAAACTAGAGGTATACCAAGGTGTACCTTACAGTGAATTGGATTTTTGTCAATGTCTGCCTGGCATATTCCTATATGCGAATAGACTATATAAATTGGATGCAGCTAGAAATATTTGGGAGGGCCTAGAGTGGAAAATGTCATCCAGTATGTTGGCTTTCTTTTGTCCGACACAGTGTTTTGGGAGGTGGGTAATAGGCAGGACTTGAAGCAAAGAAACAGTTTCATTGCACATATTCTACCCAATCCGATCTCCATCTTGCATTTTCCATCTAGAATACTTTGACATTAGTCTGGATATAAGTTTAGACCTGTTCTCTAGGAATTCAGGTATAGATGTGTTTTATTACTACTGAGAAATAATGTAATGTGTAAAGCTATGGTTGAACTTCAGTTTGAGAAGTATATACTCTTTCCACATGCCAATGCTTTCCTTCCTCATAAGGAAAATACGTTCATTTCTATGAGTCACGTCTGCTTATTTTTTAAATAATCAGACTTTACATATTTAATAGTGAAAATTTCTGAAAATTCTGAAAATTTATTTTAACTATTTAAGGTAGTTTGCCAATTGGGCAGGGCTCATAAACCCTCCCCTTTTTGCCACTGAATATGTTCCTCATCTTCTGCAGTGTGATGTGACCCTTGGTCATGTTCTGATTCAGATACCATGGCTCCTCTATTAGAGATTTGGTATAAAAACATTCTTCTTGTTCTAAAAATAGGGCAGAACACCAGAGAAACTTTTGACTAGAGAAGCTAGAAAAAAGTGGCATACTATCTCTCCATAGCATCTTATCAAAAATTGAAATTTTCAATTGTGGGAAATCTAGGAAAATTGTAGCAACACAAACATACACAGTATGAAAGAGAGAGAGAGAGAGAATCAGGTTTATACAGTATATATATTGGAACAATAACCATTGAAGGATTATAGCCATTTTAATATACCAATCTCTATTCTTGGTGATGGCTGAGAAGCATTTTCATGGCCAGGAGCATCCTGCTTCCTTGTTACTCTGTGATAAATCAAACAGATAAAAGTATGAAGTTGGTTCTGAGTGTTACATTTGCATTTGGTAGCTGTTCACTGGAACACTCAACATAAGATCCAAAGAGGTGTCTATGAAAGTGAAGGAGGCCATCATTGGGTTGAAAAAGCGAAATCTATGAGAGAGAGTGCAAAACTACTGGGAATGGTCAAAACAATGCTTTGAAACTTTCTATAAAGAAGGAATTAGGTAGCAGGCTCGGTAACATCAAAAGGCCTGGAAAGTAATGGAAGATAACTAAAGTGGATGACTGCAGAATTCTGTCATTGGGTAAGAAAAACCCTGTTACAACATCTAGCCAAGTCAAGAACACTCTTGAGGTAGATGTGTCATTGTTAAAGTTCACAGCCAAGAGATGATGTTGTGAATGCTTCATAATAAGGTGCAAACTCTAGCACATCAAGAACAGGTTAGAATTTGCTAGAAAGCACCTTAAAAAGCCTTCCCAGTTCTGGAATAGATTCTTTTGACTTATGAAACCAAGATTAACTTGTACCATAATGATGAAAAAAATAGGGAGAAGGAAGGGCTCCAAGGACACTACAATCTGTCAAACATGGCAGAGACAGTACATGGGCATGTTTGGCTGCCAATGGAACAGGGTGACTGGCATTTATTGATGACCTGGCTTCAGATAAAAGTTGCAGGATGAATTCTGAAGGGCATAGGACTATACTCTCTGCTTAGATTCAGCCAAATGCTGCAAAACTGATAGGATGCCACTTGATATTGCAGATGGATAATGACCTAAAACATACAACAACGAAAGCAACCAAGAGTTCCTCAAGGCACAGAAATGGGATATTCTTTACTAGCCAAGTCAGTCACCTGATCTTAACCCAAAAGAGCACACTGTTACTTATTGAAGACAAGACTGAAAGAAAAACCCACAAACAAGCAACAGCTGAAGGCAGCTGCAGTAAGAGCAGGCAAAGCATCTCAAAGGAGGAAATTCAGCATTGGGGCTAGTCCACGAGTTCTAGACAGGGAGTCATTGAGTGCAAATGATTGAGTGCAAAGATTTTCATCCAAGTATTAAAAACAATCCTTATATTTATAATTGGAGCCCAAGCGGACATCAGATTAACTAAAAAAAATATATCCACAGAAAACAGTTTTTCAACAAGGAAGTTTAAGTTTCCTGTTGTAGAGCTGACTGAGCTTAATGAGAAGTGTAAATATCTCTTACAGAACTGTGCTGACCTCCACTGTTACAACCTATTTTAGTATATGATTTAATGCTTGGTATTTTCCCAAAGAGAGTCTCTGACTCTTTTCTACAGAATTCAGTGGCCACCTGCACTGAATCATACCAATCATTCGTAGGTGGCTAATGACCTTTTGAATTGCAAGTTGGAATTCAGAGAACTCCATAATAGGTTGTGCATGAAGATACCAATTTTCTATATAATTTTCTTGTAACCCATCAAATTAATTTGAGATGCCCAACCACTTCTGTTGTTTTATGAGGCTTTAGATGCTTCCCAAACTTTTTCCTTCATTACCCCAAAACACTTATCAGAAAGTCTTGCTGAATTTCAAGGATCAGTTGTAAGTCTCTTCCTTCAGGGTTGTCATAACTTCAAATTGATCAAGTAGTCATAACTAAGTAGTCACAACTAAGTAGTCATCTCAATGGTTATAACTCAAGGATTACTTGAGTTGACTACTTGACTATTAAAAAACTATCATTGAATAATCTTAATCACATTTCATTTCAACAATTACTATTGTTAATTTCATTGGTTTTCACCTTAAAAGGGATATTTTGGGAGACTTTTAATGTATTTTAGTACATATGATAATCTTTAAGTAAATTTTAAATGTCTCTGCTGTGATTAGTAATGGGATTAAGTGTCCTTAACAATAAAGAAAAACCACTTTCATCCAATTTTGAGTAATTTTCCCAGGATCGGGAAGTATTGTTTTAGAGTAAAATAAATTAAATTAAAAATGTTTTGTGACAAAACACC